TTTTTATTTGTGCAAGGCGGGGGTGCCAGCTCGACAGGAGTACCGGATACGTTTGATTTTCATGGCGCGCGGATGCGCTATATGCGGATCGAGCAGGCAGCTTCAAGCGCTCGAACTCGGTTTCGCTAAAGTCTTAAGCCGAGACCTAGGGAACTCGCTTGAACATAGTAAAAATACGGATAAGTCATATAACTTGACGGATTATTCTACTAATTCTGCCTGAAATTCGATTAAAGCTTGATGCCTTGATCCTCTTATCTTCCGAGACCCCGAGAGCGGTAACCCGCGCGCGAGCGAATAAACTCGCTACATTGTGATATAACGAGATCCCTACAGAGAGAGAGGGGTCAGCTGGAAGGGGAGGGGAGGAGAAAAAACGGTTGTTTCTCTGCACGCGGCATAAAGATATTACGGTTTTTTTTATCGGCATAAGTTTCACGCGGCCCGCGTGACTTATCGGCTGTTTCACGCGGCTTGTATTTAATTAATATTTCGCGTATATTAAATGACTCTCACGACATGAATAACTCTTCTTTTGCAATTAGAAAGTGAAACGCGCGGTCGTGGTAATGTTACGAAGTAAATCATAAATATCGCCCGTACACGGATGTTCGGCCCGGTGTGGACATACGTAATATTATTCAAATATACGACCCTCGACATATACTTTCAGCGCGGCGAACGCATGTGCTGAACCGTGTGCGAGAACGCGCGGCCGAGAACCACGGAGGAGCATTGTAATGGATGTAGTGCACGATACCGAGCTAACGTTCGTGAACGTTCTTTGCGTATTACGCTTCATAAATACCGATGAGAAATCGCTAGATACCGCAGCGAAGTATTTGCACTGTGGCACCGGTTTCTAAGCACAATTATTAATTTTCTTATCTGCCATCCGCTTTTCGTAATGCAAATCATATATTAGCGACTTTAATTTGTAGAAATATATACAATTTCGCGAAGGTAAGCAATTAAAAAATAAACCGTGCTATTTTAACAGGTTGCGTTTTATTGTACATATGTATATGTAAAGAAAATTCAACAAGTTATCTCACATCGCATTATCGCACCTCATTATGATTTCTCCTCAGGGGCAGATCGCACTGTCATTAAGATAGGCATTAACTTGTCGATGTTAATATCAAGGTGGCGGCGAACATGGCGCGTTCGTATTTATGGCGCAATAGTTACAGCAACACGGGTGATCCTTCTTTCTCTATGACACATTTCCGACTTGTAGAACACCAATCCCGATAATTCCGCTCATAAGAGACCTTTAACTGCGCTAACGAGCTGATATCAAATCTGATCGGGATGACCGATTTGCTCGCCGTGTGTAATATATTTTACGACACGGCTTCTTGTGACACGTGATAGTAGAGCCGGAAATGATTTGTCGGGAGATGGTGGTATGACATTAAATCAATCTCTCTTGTGTCGTCATCAGAAAAAACGCCGCCGGCTAACGAACCCACCTTCCTTGTTTATGTTTCAGGTGAGTCATTGTTGCAAAAAAGAGACACGCTCTTCGTGCGGCACAGAGGACGGCGCCGTTCTTTTGTAAGATGAGAGTCATAAAGCCTGCCGGGTATGTAATGCAGACACTCTATATATGTATTCGCTGTAGTGTATTTATAAACGCTGGAAAATTAATTCTGCTTCAGATGCAATGCATTCGTATTTCATGGTGGAATAATCACATGCGGATTAACTGCATTTGTAAAATCGCATTTTTTTATTTTATTTATGCATTTTTGCTTGTATTTTTTTAACTTTTTTCTGCTTTAAAAATATGACTTCTCACTGTGTTTAATTGCGTGATGTTGTGCAAACGTAAAATGAATATTGCGTATTTTTTTCTTGAAAGAACAAGTTTTTTTGCTCTTAACCTGGGCGCAGTGGAAAAACTTGAGTGAGGCACTAGATGTATTGTATAATTTTCTTGATTAATTCATAATCATTGAGAACTAAATTCCACCAAGAATTCCTCTACTTCCACAAAAAGTTGTCCTCTTTGTTAATATTTCGCGTGTCCGCCTGGAATTTCCCGGCTGTAAGTCGGATCGCGGATAACGATTTTTCATGTTTCACAATATCTTTTCACGGGTTAAATCACAAACTCGCGATTTTCCGTGATGAATGGTGATGAATAATTTGCATTATGGCACGTTCGTGTTGGTGGAACCAGGTAATACGAATTAAAGTGAAGAAGGCACGTGTTTTCCTTCTACCGCGGGACCCTCGGTGCAATCCTGATTAATAGCCGGATAATATCGTGCAAACACAGCGATATCCGCACCGTACATCTTCCAGTCGACGTGCGGCCTTGGCGTTCGCAGGTTCGAAAAGCGCGGACGCGCTTTGAAGTGCAAATTTCTTAAGTTGATCTTTACCATGTGACGTCGGAAATTTATCGGATTATATCATCTTTCCGCCTTGTCTCTCTATTCTGTTGCATCAGTTCATCGCGCAGCGCAGAGTAAATATTTTCGCGTGACCCTCTTTTAATAACACATCACAAACGTACGGCTATTCTGTATTTCCAGTCACGTTTGTAACAATTTGTATCGCTTCTCTTCGGAGTGGCTCTGCGAATCCTGATGTTGCACCTGGAAAATTAAACATTTATTTTTATTATAATGTAAAAACGCATTTGGAACATTACGATGTTTTTTGTTTGTTTGAGAAAATTTATTGTTTCTAATTTATATTGTTTTGTCTTATTTAAATTATATTGTATTAAAATCATTTTACTAAATTTAATGGTGAATTAAAAAAAGAATATTTTATTGAAAACTTTTACTTTGTAAATTCTTACGAGAGAGATCACGAAGTATTTGATTGATAAATTCACTTAAAACAAGAATAGAAAATATTTTTGTGCTTCTCGACACAACTGATGCGACAGTGCGGATTCTAAGGTTAAAAACTTTCGCGTCTAGGTAATCTCGCGTCAATCAGGAAAAGACGATACGATCAAATTAGAGTCCGGATGCTTTTAACTATTCTTGCCCGAGAGAGAGAAATTGGATAGACAGTCGGGACATGCAAATTACATGCCATTGCGTTAGAATTTATAAGCCTGCAGTTGTTCTTCATCCGTCTCCGTTTTATCTTCTCTCTTTGATAATCAGCAGTTCTTTCTTAATATAAATCATGCATCTAGATTCATCCTTGTTCGAATATTACATTGAAGCTCAATAAAGTAGACGTTTTATTCATTGGAAAATTAATTGCGCATTGCACGTCTTCTTCTTTTAGTCTTACAGCGCACTTAACATAAAAATTTATTATCTTGTTAATGCTAATGAATGACGAAGCTAAGATTAATAAAGGTTTTTATAATCGAATTGAACGGGAGAAATGGCACCATTTTCATTAACTCTGCTTATGCAGCAAAGTGCTTACATCATTTCTGTACGAATTGCGAAAATGTAAAAAAAAATTTTAAAAGTCTTTAACACAATTTCGAGCAAGATAAACGCTCGCGTAAATTAACGATGTAGAAAAACGAAAATTCCGAACATGTTCTGGACTTGAAAATTTCATAATAGACTGGCCACATCGTCCGAACCGACTCATGCTCGCGGCTAGTTTTCACTCTATGCTACTTTCTACAAAGAGCTCTCAGCTTCCCACCGCGGTGCTTACTTTTAAGGTTCGCCGATATAAAACTCTTCAAAGTAGAACTTTGCTGCATACAGCCCCAGATTGAAATGGAAAGTATTCGCTCGCAAACTTTCACGTAGATTCGCCCGCGTAGTTGTATCCTTTTATAGTAACGTTAATATTCCGCCCGACGTTTTCAATAGGATTCTATCGACTTATCGCATTGCCGACTTATTGCATTTTGCTGATAGTTTTACGATACATCTTCGTCCGTTTTGATAGAAACTTTTCGAATCTAATATAAATACGCTTCATATCAAACTCGTGTAATTCCGCTAGACACGACACTCGATAATGAATAATTTTCTAGAAACAATCTAACAAAATCATGAATCAGCAACTGCGGCGCTTACTCAGCAGGTTTCTTCGTCGAGTCTCGAGTTCATCTTCCGCTTAGGTATTCCACCCTCGGGCTTTCTTATCCCACGAAGTACCCTCTTGTTCGCAGACATCACTCGATTTTACCGTCTTTATATTCCTTCCTATTCCAGTCTCGATTCTATTCGACACTGGAAGCCGAGACATTTTCCGACAATTTTTATTCACAACACAACGTCAGTCGTTAATGTGTATCGTACAAGTAGTAGTAATTATATATATATCTCCACTTCCCGTACACGATGTTCTATCGGACGTTACGAGCCGCGTGTTACGAAACCGATCGGTTGTTTGTATCATGCGAGGCGAGATAAGGGCGCACATCGGTCGCATTGCGGATTAGTGCTGCAGGCAGAGGAAAACCGAAGGGGAAGGGAAAGAGAGAGAGATGGACGGATATGTAGAGCCTCGTTGCGTGATTCGTCAGACGTACTGCAACAATGCATCTTTGTCGCTGATTAGATGTAGACGGGACGATAAGCGAAGACATAGTCGCTGAACAACCGACCGATCGACCAACCGACCGGCCAACTTGGTCGTCTCGATCTTTCCGTTTCTCTCGCCCCTTCCGCGCGCGTTCTCTTTCTCGCTCTTCTCGATGCGCCACGGTGGCTAAGCAATGACACCACGCTCGGCTGCGTCGCGATGCGCCGACACGTTGCAAATTTGCACCGCCTTGAACGCGGAGCGCCGACCGCGGTGCAGCCGCGGCTAATGTGTACCCGGGATTCCCGGGGAGGGATGAAGGGGGGCGGGTGGGAGGGAGGGCAGAGAGGAGGAGAAGGGCGATGTTGTACGAGTGCGCTCCTCGCTGAAGTGCACTTTAGTCAGAATGCGCCGACTAACACTGCGGCAGAGCGCGCGTACGCGCGCAATACATGCGTGTATTATATTTGTAGTAGTATGTGCGAGTCTTTTCTGCGGCAGATGCTCGCGCGAGGGAAACTGTGGGAATCGTCGGTGAGTCTTGGAATTTTTTTTCCCCCCTTCGCGGTGATTAGACGAGGTGTATATGTTGCCGTAAGTCGCCATTGGTTAGTGGTATCCTCTGTCTGGCACAGCGCTCTTTCTCACCGATAGAGCGTGACTGCAATATTTATCTCCTACGCGCGCGCGCGCGCGCGACGTTTATTTATGAGCGCGAGAGAAAAAACGGAATTGCATTATCTGTACGAGGAGCCGGCCAAAAATACGCGCTTAAGCTTAATAGAATGTAGTCGCTTCGATGTAATAGGCTCCGGGGAGTAGAATAAAAAAGGATCACCGCAGCATCGGTGATGAAGTACGGTCTTTTCCCGAAATACGCGGTCGTAATCGTAAATCGTATCTTAAGCATATCTTTCTATTCCGGCGCGATCAGATAGCGCTTAACCCATAATTGCCGAGCGGCGCGCGTTAATAATAAATATCATATCAAATATTAATTCAATCACAGCGCCGTAATATGCTGTGGCATTAGATATTAATCAATGTGCTTAAATCATTGTATGCGCTGTCAATTAATCGTTGCGCGGCGCACATCGATATATTTTATCGCGGTGTCTGTATAAATTATAATCAAACAGCTATGCTCACGATAGACGTAAACTGATGTGTTGTACAGTTGGTGTACATAGTTGAAGAGAGAGACGACGGAGAAATCCCGAAGGTACGGGGTTGAAATTTGAGTTCTCAGACAATGATGCCTTTGTAGTTGCAAAACTGATGGAAACCTCCGCGTGGCGAACTATCTCTTGACCTTTCGGCTTCCTGTACCGCTAATCCGCTGCATCGCGGTGGTCGTCGCTATACTTTCTCCTTCGTAAACGAATTAAATACTGTGAGATGCTTCTGACATTCCCTCTCGACGGCTGGTACGCCCGCACACTCTGTTTGTTAGTTCATCCGGTCTGCAAATGTGCCAGCGGTATCATATATTTCTTTTTCACAAACAGAACGTGACAGCGTTGCATATTAGACTGTTTCGTTTTCTCCGCTGCTTAAAAAAAAAAAATCTAGATTTATGATTAAAAAAGTTAGGAATTGATTAGAGATATCCGTTTCGCGCGCATTCCGATGAACGTTACGATAAAATCGTATAATTGCAATCTGCCGTTTCGAGCGACTTGACGAAAGCCCGCTTGCAGATGACAGTGCGCGATCGATCGTATCGTAAGACATAAATCACCACGCGATGTACTACATTGCGCGTTATAGATTAACGTATGTCGTGGGTGTGCAAATGAGGTGATTAAGTTTAGCCGCAAGAAGCGCGTAATTACGCGACGAATGAGCGTGGGTCGTGCAATTATTCACGGATCTTTCTCGCAATAGGTCGCGACAGGCACGGCCGACGAATCCTGCCTCGAAATTATTTCGCGCCGCTTGTTATTAGAAATAATCGCCGAAGCCTGATTAGTAGAGGCCGTAAATCAATCGCAGCACGGCCGCGTGCACGAAGACGCCGGGCCGTCGTTTCGTCCCGAGACACGTCGCATACGCGAAACGGCTATGACGCGGCCGATTAACGCGCGACTAATAGGCGTCATTAACTTTCGCCGTAACGCGATATAATCGTCGTTCTCACTCGGCATGGTTTATCATCTACCTGTCTCTGCGCGGCGGATGCGCGCGAACCGGCTCCGTCCTGAAAACCGAGATCTCGCGACAACGACGCTGAAGCGCGTCGCCGCAGATAAATGCGATTTGATTAAGTAGATACGCCGCCGTCTAATTATCGAGCTATACCGTGTTTTTGCCGCGGTCCGCAGAGATTGTCGATATTGCCGCTTCATCGAATTTGCACAAAGCGCAGGAAATTGAGAAACGTCGCGAAAGTCGCGTCGCGGTATGATTAGAGCTGAAAGGCTCGTAATTGAGTCCCTTGAATTTCTCTCATTACATCGCGATTTCTATGGATCCAACGGGGCTAAAACAAAGCGTTCCATTTCGGCTAATTATAAAATTTATCAAGGCGATGTGAATTCAAATGAACTTAAATCGCGGCTCGCCTCTAATTCGCGTCTGAACAGACGGCCGGGCAGACGTGGGATTCGCAATTTCGATTTAATCGTGCGAGCTTTCGCGCCGAATTATGTGCGTTTTATCATCGTGTCGGCGGATAAAGAATCCTCTCCGCTCCGGCGAGTTCCCCTCCGATCTCGCGACTGTATCACAGATCAATTTCATCGAGACGTGCGAGCGGGTCTTTAAAAAAAACCTGTTTGCGTGACGCGACGCGCTTCTCGGGAATGACGTTGCCACGATCGGAGAGAGGTGCATGGCGTGAATGGCGACGGAGAGAGAGCAGCGTTCGTAACAATAATGGCCCGCGTCGATGCGAATGTCCGTGTTAAAGCCACGGGTAATGATGACGCTGGTGGTGGTGGTGGTGGTGGTGATGCCGGCTGGAGACGAGCGCTGTTGATGCCGGTTGTGCGCGCCGAGGAGCGAGACTCGGCCAAACACGAGACGTCCTGCGGAGTGACTGGACGCGCGGTCTCGATACCCGTCAAACCAGTTTTATCGGCTACTACTTTCTTCGCGATCCGAGCGGCGCAGGTAGGAGCGAGATGCGCACCACCTCTTAACCGAGGCGCCCACCTTGCAGCCGTCGCGTTTTCAGACACAATGTACACCCCGTAACATTGAATTCCGCCATCTTTTCAAAAAATTATGTACTTCGTTCTGCCCGGGAACGACCGCCTGAAGAGGCGCCGCTTTCTCCCGCTCCGTCGGGTGCGCTTCTCTTATAAACTCTCGCCCTTTATTCGGACCTTCTACGAAAAACTTCCTCGCCATTGTGGCCGCTGATCCCCTCGAAGGCAATTTCGTTTCTACGCAACACACACACGCGCGTCATTCTTTTCGCGCTGCTACTGCAGTTGCTCGCTTCGTTTGATCGAAATGCAAGATCATCCTCCTCGAACATTTAAGCTCGAGCACGAAGAATTTATAAAAGTGACCGAACGTGATATAGCGATTGTTCTTTTTGTATGCCACACAAAGAGATTAATCCCGCCGTTTGTCGTGCGATGTGTATAGCTGGAGGACTGAGTTTAACTTCTTAAATTTTAAATGAATAATAAAGACTGTGCAGTAGGATACAAATTACGTTCACTGCCGTTTTAGATGAAACTCAAATAAAAATCTTTAATTGCAATAATTAAAATAATTAAAATAATTAAAATGCAGATTTAATTAAACGACTCGGTATCTGCAAATTAAAAAACCCAATGTTTGATCAGTAATCACATTTTATAATTTATAAATACCATTTAATTTGACTGATTACATTTATAACGATGCAAAATTTAATTTTGTTAAATGTGTTTTCCTTTATTGCGTGCGTATTTGTATCTCAGCGCAAATATATTATTTTATTAATACTGTAATCTATAGGCGATCAACAACCGCGCATAGAATCGTCGTTTCTTTTCACAATAACGTCCGGTCGTTTCTCTGCAATGCCTATAGTAATCGCGAAGCGTTCGTAATTAATGATCCACGGATGTAGAACCGAAATTGCGGCAACTCAATAGAGCACACCGGAAGGTAAACTCGAGTCGGCAATCGACTCGTTCGCCGAAGCGCGAGAAGGAGGGTTATCAATTATCATACACCGCATATCGGCGCATACATGTAACGTAACGTAACCGTTTAAATATTCGCGCGTATAATCGCATGGATGTACAGTATGTATATATATATATATATAAAGCAAATTCGCAAAGCTATATATATAAGTTTCTGTTTGATCGTGCAAACAATTCTCCGAAATGAATAATTGCGTATCGACGAGAGAATAAGAGAGTAACGGAGAACAATGATAATGCGTGCGATAGAAAACGACCGAAATACGATTTGCCTGATAATTTAAACCGTAAACCGTAATTCGAATCGGCTATCAATCTATCTATGTACATATATCATATCTGCACGGAAGATAATGATATTTAGTATATGTATGTGCACGGACGATAGTGTACATCGTGTAAATTGTGAGAAGCAACAGCGGCCTCTCTATATATTTGTGCATTTTTATTCCAATTTCTTTTCTTTTTATTGTTCTCTGTTAATTTCTTTCTATCTTATGCTCATAGAACAAGAAACTGGGGGCAAGCAACGTCGGCGACTTGAGAATCCTCGTGCGATGACTCATTGTCAATCGAAGTGATCCGAACCGGTTTCGTGACTTTTTAGACGATGGCTACTCCTTAATAACGATCAAGGTAAAAAAAAAACGTAGACATTTTGATAAGACATTCTTTGGAATATTCCACTGACCGAAAAAGATAACGGTTTTATCATCATCATTTACTTTACTAGATTAGAATTTAAAGGTCATGATTCAACTCGGCAGTACTTTCCAGAAAATGGAACATTTCAAAAGTCAAACTAAAAATAAAACCGGGGAAATCAAAGTTTCGATGCAAGACGTAAAGTTTCACGCCTTCTTCGTCTGATTCGAGCTCTTTAAGACTCAGACTGTACCATCGCCATAGTTGAGTCTCTCAAGATAACTTTTTGAGATATTTAAATATTTTTTCACCGCTTGACAACGATTCTTTTTTAATCTTTCTTCATTTTAATTACTCAACATTTCTTGAGTGTTTTTATGCCAAGCCAACGTCTGTGCTCTAATTCGTAATTAAATTGATATGTCGGCCACTTCCGCGAGACGGGTTTTCTCATCCGGCTGCTAAACGTAATGAAAACGGGATTTCACCGGCGTCATTAAATCGTTGGCAAGATAAAGTTAGAAAAAGACGGTCGAGCGTCGCCTCGTCGTAAAGTGCAGCTTGCTATTGTTTAAAATACGCCTGGTAACGAGTATAAGGTGACCAGATTGTTGCGTGATAAATTTGACCTTAGAAGGGCACGGAGCTTGTAAACAGCAGAAAGCCCGCAAAAGCGGGATGTCGACTAGCACAAGTTCGCGAAAGTTTTCCTATTTGACCCTCAAAATCGCATAACTTTCTAATTAAAATTTAAACTTCTCATGGAAACTTCGCTCTACACGCATTCAAAAGCCCGGATTATAACGCCTGCACCGCCTGTTGTGCGTAACTTAGGCGACAGTGTGAGGGTTGGCGAAAGAGGACGGGAGAGTGACAAGCCACTTCAGAGTGATTTTCCGCAAGGTTAAACGTATCGTTCGCCGCGGTGATTAGGATCGTATTGTTGCGATCAGAAAACACGGAGATTAATAAATGCAGTGGAGTCACGTTTCGCGCCGGAAGATAGTTCTTTTTTTTTTCTTTTACCGCGAGTGGAAATTGTTTTCTCTTGCTTTCTGTTTTCGTGATGAATAATCGCATAGCTACTTTACACGTTCTCTGCCAAGTTATTTATGGATTTTCTAAAAGCGCGGTTATCGCGAGGCCAGACGAATCTTATTAGCGGAGAACTCGCGGGCTCGTTACCGTCCTCGGCGTTCTTATTTGTTCGTCCGGAAGTGTTCCATCTATTTTCCACGTTCTTACAGTGGATTGCTGCAGTAGCGCAAATAACCAGTAGACTCCACGGTATTCGCCGCGATTCTCTCCGACAACTTCGAGAAAATGCGGCCAAAACAAAGTGCTCGCAGTCGTTCGCTTGTCCATCGTCACTATGTATTTTCTTTTAATTTTATTTTGTTCCATCCTGTGCCTCGATTATTTCGAGAAATACTTTTATAATTTTTAATTTTAATAGCATTATTCTTTAAACGTTCATTAACAATATTAGAAAATATTTATTTTGTACACCAATTATTTCTTCTTCGTACTTGAAGGAAGACAATTATTGGACTAATTAGATTAATTTCTCATGTATGCGTGTACTGAGGCACACAAATCGGTGCAACGTTTTATTTTTACGTGAGAAGCAACTGTCACATTGCCGTCAACGGTTAGACAGACGAAAATAGATCAGATTCGTCTTACGGAGGACAAATCACCGACGATCTCGCGAGTCCTCGCGGTTGACGTTTTGACATCGGCAGTCGCTGCCTATTAGCTCGAGGTCTGACCATTTTGCCGCTAATTCGTCTTAACGAGCTTAGCTAGGCTGCACTGGCGTTTCGTAAGTATTCCCGCTAATAAGCTCTTTGTTGTTATTCCGTCAAGCATTCGTACGACTCGTAGGCCACGTTTATCTCTCGCCTCGGCTTGACGGGGGAATTTGTCAGTGTGCCCGCAGATTCCGGGCGCGATAAATCCCGCTGTTCATTCACGAGTTACTCAGTTCATTGACCAATCGCGGCGATGAAAGATGCATGTAGGTGCTCCTACATTAACTGACACTCGTATATCTCACACTCGGGCTTGTATCGGTCGAGAATAATTAGAATCGGCTCACGGGCGCGTGTTGGGAAAGCGACCGGTTGCGGAATACGTAATATGTCAGTAAACATCAAGAGCGCCGATTGATGCGACGTATCGATATTTTTGGTTTTATTAGAAATCTTTTCACCTCTTTTATTATATTTCAAAGTATTTAATAGAAAATCTCTTCAAAGCACGAAAAGTTGAAGAAAGATTAATTTTTTATTCTCAGCAAGTTTACCTCCCTATTTTCTTGCCTTTCTTCAAAGTATTTTACGTAATAACGTCCTATGAGTGTGTGAATCCGTGTCGTTAACGATCGAGCAGCGTGCGCGTTTATGCGAGAGGGCTGAGACGTTTTTGTGCGGAAGAAAATCATCGTGAATCTAAGCAGGTTATGTAAGATTCAATATTTGTCTGGGTTGAGTCCACATGAGTTCCTCCATTTGCGACTGCTCTTTGTCCCAGAAGAGTGATGTCAGACTGGAGGAGACTTATCGCGCCTACGTGCATCGCCGCCGATATCCGTGAAATAGCTATCGTAATTTCATTGACAATCTCCCGTCGCGCCTCGCTGATTATTAATGCATTCGTAATGGAATGCCGCGCGCGTGTAAGTCGTATAAATATGAAATTTATCAAACATTATGCCGCCCATAATTTTTCGTAATCGCACGAATGGTGTCAATTTCTCTCATTATTTCATTCGACAATCTCTCGCGCGATAATCTATTGCCGATCCATTGAGATGCGTTTCGCGTGGCTTAAGTACATTTTTAAGAAATACTCTGCGCAAATAATTAGTTTCTTGAATGAATTTCTGAATCAAGTGATTATTACAATGTTGTATGTAAGCCGCTTGTTAAAATTAAATAATATTCGGCAGAGGAAATTGTAAGAGATGCGCGCTTCCGGCGTGTGACGACAGTAGCAATGTTGAATCAGTCATGTTAAGTTCAATCGAAGCACATCTATAATAAGGCGGCATATAAATCCAGACCGAGCGTAGCTGCAGTGAACGCTGAATTTGACATTGTTCGCCGGCGGCGGCGGCGGGAAGGAGCTGCTTTCCGCCACTCCCAACCTCTATCTCTAAAGAGCTTTAATTGGAACCCTGTCGCTTCAAATTACTGTCACTAGAGACGCTCCAGTTCCTCCTTTTGGTGTCGTCGCGCATCCCTGTCGCGGGAGAGGATGGTATTATTTTAGCAGGAAGTAGGTTTATGGAACGTTGGCGTCTCGAGGGGATCTTACTTCGATCCTGTAGAGCGATTATGTCTGAGGTTCTGTCGTTCCGCTTCCCTCTGTGTCGTTTATACGCGATTCTCACTTTGTTTGTGCCATAAACAAATGTAAACTCGTGTATAGGATAAGTATATTTTGCAATCCAATTTTCGTGCAAAGTTATTTGAACCGTGCATTGAATTGTGTACCACTAATTGTGTATGAAGCACTTGCATCACTTCCTGCGTGAAGGTGTACATTTAGGTCGACAGGAAGCCGATGCAACGTATGAATGCAGGTATTATTCTAAATAATAACAAATAGAGCTTCGTGCGTCGCTATTTCAGAATTCCTACGTGTTATTCACAAACGGAGATGCCGAACATCTTTCAGAATGCGAAGTTGTAAGCGGAAGGTATGCAGGTATCGTATGACAGCTGTTATATGAAATAAGAGAGAGGGTATATGTCTACCGATGCTTGCTGCAAGAGTTATGTATATTCGCGGAAGTTCTAAATCGCATTGGGGAATAGTTGCAGGAGGTGACAAGCTCCATGCGGGAGATTATTATACCATATAGTCGATCCTTTAATTTGAATCTGTTAAAATCGGGCAGACGTCGTTGAACCGTTATTTAACGTCCGTGCTCAATCTTGCGTAATTTATTTCGGAATCTAAAAGATGCCACACATATTAGCGAGTTATCCGATACATTGTAAATAGTCGAGTCGATAAATTACGAAGTAAACCGATCATGAGAGATTGATGTTCCGTTCTGACGAAATTTTACTATAACTTGTGATTTACTCTTTCGTTTAATTCATCGATACACCGGCTTTGTTCAAAATGCTTTTCTAAAATATATATATTGTTAAATAATTAATTTACGATGTTTCTAACTAATTAACAGTTCGTTAATTACGTCGGTGGTTGGCTCACAATATTTAATAATTGCGTGTACCATAAAATTTATGAAATTCCAAACTTCACGATTAAAAGTAATTAATTAAGTGAATAAATGACGCGGATAAAATCTGTTGTTCTCTCAGTTTAGTTGAAAGGAAATAAAAAAATTAATTAGAACCGATTTCGAAAACAATAGCGTTCCGAAATTTCGCCGAAAATGCCGATGATAATCTCTCGAAATATTGCGCTATTTCTACGAGCAATACGCAATTGCTGGCGGTTGATGAGCGTTGTGCGGAACTATTCACGCGACAAGATCGACGCAGCCGATTCTCGATAGCACCGTCCGACGTCGCGCACACGCGCGTGTGGGTGTCGTCGCTATGCGAAGAGAAAGTGGTACTCCGTTAATTTATGTAATGCTGATTTATGCCCATATCCGCGGTGATCCTTTTTCATCGGCCGCTGCATACTCGCTCGCTGCATTGTGCGCATATTGTGACCGGCTATCGTCGCCGTGGAATTATACGCCGAACCGCGAAGGCAATATGCGAATGGTCGTAAACGAGAATCGAGATCACCGCTGCGATAAAATTGTCCGCGGAATCGTACGTACGGTTGATATAACTCTGCGCGTGCGCGCGCGCGCGCCGTAAAAACAGGATCCCGTTAATTGTGAAGAACTGTGTAGCGCGCAGCAGTAAACGAAATTTAATTAACGGGCGAGAGCGCCGGTAAAAAGAGGCGGTTCCCGAAAGACCGGACTTAGGGATTTGGATTAAGATGGATTTTCC